TATATTAAGAATAAGAGGCGTAGGAGGAAAAGAGAAGCGGGGAAACTAAAGATGGAGTACGTTATACAAGAGCTTCTTAGTGTACACTGAAATGCCGGCATTATGAAGGTCAAATGAAGGGGATTGGATAGGGTACACATGTAGTACGCAATTCTAGCAGAAAAACCTGAAATGAAATGACCACTTGGGGTCCCAGAAATAGATCTGAGGATATTAAGATATGTGTTAAAAAATTAAGACACGAGTATATGGAGTGCTTTCAACACAAACAGAAGATTTTCAAAAGCGAGACTTTTTGGGACGTTCTTGACCACATGATCGAACCTGTGTTTTATATGTAACTATTCATATAGAGCTAGTGAAAGATTCTAGATAAGTAGAATATTTTTGGAAAATAACATGTCGAATAACACGACAAATTTACAATCGATAGATCAATAAGCTTATATTTGTCTCGTTGGTACCGTTTATTCCAGCTTCAATATGTTAAACAAAAAACCAAAATCCGTCGTAAGAAATGCACTTAGAAGTAACAGCAATAATTTTTCTCTTCTCATTTCGACCGCATATGGTTTGTTCTTGCACAGTTTGCGTAGGCTTATGAAAAGTATCGAACTGCATGGCTCCATTTGCCTATACAACGTGAAATACTTTCCCAACATGGAAATGAGTTACATTTTCTTGAATATAACGCCGTGTAGTTTAGCAAAATTCAACCGACATTGATTTCATGTCTGTTTTACAATAGAACCTCCCCATTCAAACAAAACAGACATAATCCAATGTACGAGATGTCATCAGTACGGCCATACAGAAACATACTGCAATAAGCCATAGGTATGCGTCAAATGCAGCGGCCTACACAACAGGACAGACTGCAAGAAGACAAGAGAAACACCAGCCAGATGCGCACTATGCGGAGGGAATGACCCCACAAACTACAGAGGATATGAATACTTTCGTAAGTAACCAAATGTACCAGCAGAAGCTTTTCCCAAAGACCCTCTACTCCAGCAATCTACACAAATGAATCCTACACGAGAAATTTACAACCTCTAGAAATAACCCAACCCAGAAGCTACGCAGAAATCAGAAAGCGAAATTTAACCCAAACAGAAGAAACAACCAACATACTAGCAAAATTCCTAGACGAATTCAAAAATTTAATTCAACAATTATTACAACAAAATACTATGGTACTAAACATGCTAAGAACACTCGTCAAAAAGCGAAATAAATGGCCAAATTCTTAAGAATATTCCAATGGAACGCCAATCATCAAGAAGATATAAAAATATTTCTAAATATAAACTCAGTCGACATCCCGCTAATCACCGAAACCCACTTCACCAGCAGAAGCTACTTCAATATCCCCAAATACAAGCTTTACCATACAAACCACCCTGAAGACAGCCCACGGAGGCACTGCAATCCTAATCAAAGAAAATATCGAACATAATGAACTACCAAAATATGAAGAACATTTACGCAACAGAAGTCATCCGAGAAAACAGCACCAAGTACATCAACAAACTAGAAAATCACTCCAATCCACTTCTTCAACCACTACTTCAACCTCATAAAAATCGAAGACTCAAAAGAAGTTGGCCATCAGATCTAACGAGCTGAGGAAAACATCACTGGATGTTTATCCCGCACAACCCATGAACAGTGTACAATAAATAGTTATTAAATTGTACACCAATCAGCACATTAACTTATAGAGTGTACAATCTGATTGTCAATAAATGAGAGGATTAAAGAAAGTCTGTTTTATGTTGGTTTTTGCTTCGCTTACTTTACGACCTTGAAAATGGAGGTCACATTCTCCATGGAAACGTTGGTTGACTTTCACTGCTGTATACCAGAAGACAGAAACTTTCACAACTACTGCCTTGAAAACGTGGATGTGATGCTCTGTTAAAGGCACGAGGCGAACAGTTGCGGAATTTAGCATGCTTACATTAGACCCAAGATGTATAGTAAGAGAAGGGATTTGGGGACAGGACTTTGTTGTATGTTCTCTACAGAGAAAAAGATTCCAGACTAAGGAGAAAAGTAGATTGCGTATGAAGGGATATTCAAGAGATCGTCCGACCAGGCTTACTGATATAGGAGCACGTAAGAAGGAACAGGTGGTGGACATAATCCTTGAAGTAGAAGAAGGTGTGGTTCTAAAGCCCCGGATTCAGCACCACAAATACACAGTAGGTCCTACTTCAAAAGGAAGACGGCGCCTGCAGAAGAAACGATCGAGAAGCGATCTGCGCTGGCTGAAGGAAAGGAAAATGTGTTTACATGGTCAGTGCAAGAAAAATAACTACTGTATACGAAGTTCTGAGGTGTCTTCCTGTGTAGTTGATACCATATTGATGACAACAGTTCAGGGGGTTATGTTGAGGCGATATATTATAATGTTGAGAATATTGATCAAGGTTATGTTATATTGGAAGCGCATAAATATGTGGGGAGCTGACGCTAGTCGCATGCCCTAGGGCACAATACCACATTGATTTCTCTGCATATTAACTGAAAGGAATGCGATTTCTCGGAAACCCATGTACAAAGCAAAAGGATCATCTCTTTGTAGTTTCAGAATGTGTGAAACTGGTGGCTCGTATATTGGAAAAAGGAAAAATGTATTTATTCCTCCTTGCAATGCTTGTGCGTTAGAAGGTCAGACATAAGTGTGATATGTCATTATATGCACTTAACTAATGTGGGATCTAGGAGCAATAGCACATCAGTGTGGATCAGAGCTTTCCATATCTGGCACGATGAAAGAGTACAGTAACGGCTATAAGTTGTGTTGTTGTATGATAAGTAAGCATGTCTACACGGGTTGTAACTTACGGACATTTCTGGGTCTCTACGTGTCCTTCCTGTGAGAGTGGAAAGGACAGACATCTTATGCATTCTCCTCTGAGGAGCACAGAGGTTGGGCAGAGAAGGAAGGAGTCTGCCCACTTTGCAGTTGATGTTTGTGGAGATTGTTTTGCTTATGTACATAGGAATATAATCCTTCTCCTTCTTTTCTTACCATCTTTCTCTCCATCCTTTACTTCCTTCTTCATCTTCTTCCTTTTTATCCTTCTTTCTGTCTGTTATTTCTTTCCTTCAGTTGTTTCTTACCTCACTTCAGTTGTTCCTTTCCTATTCTTCCTTTTCCTTCTCAGGTTGTTTCTTTTTTCTTTCTTCCTTCCTTTTCTTTATCGAGTTGTTTCTTTCCTTAAGTCCTTCCTCCTGTGTTTCCTTCTTTTCTATTTCCTTTCTCATATTGTTACTTTCATTCTTCCTTTCTTTCCTTCCTTCTCTTATTCCATTCCTACTTCTTTCTTTAGTTTCTTTCTTTCTTCCTCTTTTCCTTTCTTCCTTCAATTTTCTTTTCTTTCTTCCTCTCTTTCCTGCCTTTACTTGTTCCCTTTCTTCCTTCTTTCCTCTCTTTCTTACCGTCCTCCTCGTTTGTAACCTCAAGCCACACCGGTTGCTGTTACTCTTTACCTTCCTTCCTTTCACTTGTTGCTCTCACCACTGCCGTCGTTGGTCGTGGAGCTTGCAGCTAGGTCGGCTTTAGCTGGCTCCACCGCTTCTCCAACTCCACCACTTCTCTTCACTATGGAAAGGGTATCCGGTCCGGGACTTGGACTGGATGGTTATGGGCGCCAGCAACTGTGGGTACAGCTGCAAAGTGAAGGGAAAAGGTGGACGGGGTGGGAGCTGATGATGATCGGGCTAGCAGTGGTTGGCGTGAGACTCTGGCTCAGGTCGTTTAGGGCCTTACTCCACGAGGAGGAAAGAACACACGGGACATACAAACACTTGGCACCACTTAACTTTATTGACTTTTTTTAATCTGCGCGCCTCTGAGATACATTTCAGTGCGTTACTCTACTGTAATTCCACCCGTTGCTCGAACACTAATTTTACTTAACATACGAGTGAGACAGACAGACGCGTCCGGTCAGTTTAACCGTTCTTACGAGCCTCTCCACAGGAACTGACTCTCCGTTTTTGAATATTCAGAGGTCCTGCCAAAATTTGAAGAAGGCCTCATTGTCATCTTCCAAATCTCCGGGTTGGCTGAATTTTAGAAGGGGGAGGGGTTCGATAGATTTCTCATTCCTCCACTGGTCAGCTGTTTCGCGGCGAGAGTTGGGGTTCACACGCTCTCACCGTCTTTCTGACCCGGGGTGGATTGAGAGGGTTCAATCTAACGGTCTCCTAAGAGTAGGTCCGTGATGAATCAGGTGTTGTAAATTGGCCCCTTTCCTCTACTAATAAAACAATTCGCCGCTCCTTTCTAAAGGCAGGTTTTAGCCTTTGGGGAGTTATGACCGTTAGAGGGCCACCTCTCTCTAGTGACAAAAGTTCTTTTCAATGTCTTTTGGACATATTTATCTTATTAGTACATATGGCGCTTTCTAAAAGTAAGGAGAGTGTCGGGCTGGTTTGGGTTTAGTCTGGGGATTGCGACCCGTCATAAACTTTACCATCCCGGAACTGCGAGAGGGTTCAGGTCCCGTTGGTTGGAGTGGGTGTGAGGTATTGCCTCTACTTTGATGTAGCGACAAGTACCGACACACGTGAACAAAACATTGTAGTCCTTTGCATTGTGCGGTTACACTCTTTCCCTCCTCCAGTTTTTTCTTTCTTTCCTTGTCATCTTTTCTTTCTTTCCTTCAGTTGTTCCAGTCCTTCCCATCTTTCCTCCCTTCAGTTGTTCCTTTCCTTTCCTTCCTTCCTTCTTTCCTTCTTTCTTTCCTTCCATCAGTTTCGCCTTTTGTTCTCTTTCCTTTACTTCCTTCCTCTACTTGTTCATTTCCTTCTTCGTTTCTTTCTCTTGTTCCGCCTGTTGTTGTTTCCTTTCGTTACGTCTTTGAAATATTGTTATTGTTGTTTCTTCCTTTCTTACTTTTTCCCTCGTCCCTTCCCTTTCAAGGCGTTAGCATATGTTTCCCGTTACACTATCGTCACATCTAGGCTCTCGTGTTACTTTCCAGGTTCCGAGTCCTTCACCTGCCCTTATTTTTCCGGAACCTGGAGGAAGCCTGGAAACTTCGAGATCTACTCTGGAGCTGGAAGCGGACAGCGCTACGTTCCGTGACACCAAATTGAGACTACGCTGTGAGGCTTGGCTCTTCAAACTTTATCGGCGGAGCAGCGAAGAGCTGGAGCTTCGTGAAGATACTCCGCAACTGGCATCTGTACTAGGCCCGAGCATAGCAGGTAACGTCATTACTTATCACAAGAGTCGCCCGTTTCTCTGAATTAGTGATTTAACGGTCAGGTGATTGCCGAATCGACCCGCGCCATGAAGGTTATATTAGAGTAAGCAACGAATGTTACACGTTAGAAATATTGCTGACGGTTTGGATCTGTTTTGTCGCTGCATAAGAATATTCTGACATGACGGCTGAAAGCAGGAATAACTGAGTTAGGGCTCACTTCCATTGCTAGCCAACGGTTCGCTAACCCCATATTTCAGCGGTGACGCAATAACAGAGGAACTTTAAGACATAGTGACTTATATTCGGTTCCCCCGAAGTTATGAAAGAGTTAGTTCAGTTCAGGAGTGAGCCGTCGTTCGGCTTTTGTTATTCGGAAGAAGTGGCCTATTCGTAAATCAGAACCAAGTCAGTCACAGTAGAAGAGGAGACACTCGTAGTCCAGTAAGGAATGGGGCAAGTCGTAGACAGTCACTGATTGTGAGCTGTTATAATTGACTGTAATTGTAATAGAAGTGCCAATAAATCCAATCATCCTATTCAGAACCCGGGTATAGGTTTCACGCAAGCCGCTCATACGTGACTCCGAGCCAACTGGGCCCCTCATCACCACTTCATTGTGCATACTGAGGTCGCGGCAGGAGGAGACAGCCTGCAGACATGGCGGGTTGTTGCGACAAAATGCGGTACTTCTGCACATACAAACAGATAGCAATAATAATTGTTACTCTCACTGAATTATTCAGTTTCTTGTTAACCACAATTGTTCGGTGATATTTTTTGTATTACACTATTAGGCTTAATTAACATACTATCCAATCGTGCTAGTACAAGAAACACTGAAAAGCCCATTTCAACAGAGATGTAATTTTCTTTGCTATTGTGACATGACGCCTGAAAGGTGCAATTTGCCCATCTCCTGGGCTGGGCTTCGCTGAGCAGGTTCCCGTGGCAACACGGAAGGCGCCGCTGCTGGACGTCGAATTGTTGGAACACGTTTCCATAACAACGAATACGACTGAAGAAGCAACGCATACAGAAACGTTTCGATTCACACGGCAACGAAGTTCCACAGCAGAGTAACAGCGAAGAACGCGGTAACTGTACTGTTGAAGGAGGTGATCTCCATACGTTTCGACCAGAACCTACCTCAGGGAGAGAACTGACCAGCAGAAGACTGAAGACAAACAGAAGTCAAAAGAAGACAGAAGTGAAGACTTTATTTTATGTGGTGTAGTTACAGTAGCCTTTAGAATGTAATTGTTCGTAGCTACGAAGTGTTACAGTTACAGTAAGATGGTGTTACAACTAATCGTAGTTCCGCCTGGTGAATATCCAGTAAATTGAGTCATCTAATCTGAAACCCATAAATTATTTGTCGCGTTACCAGGAAACTATTTTGCATATTCTAATATCCATAATATTTATTTATTGCATGAAAAAGAATATTCAAGCAAAATAACGTATATAATATACGCACCTTTTACCACGAGGTTTCCTTGTGATACAGCAAATCGCTTAACACGTTCTTGAAGCTTACACTAAATCAAATTACACGGAGAGTTTGTGATTATTGTGGCCTACATTACAAGCGGCATAGATGCCATCTGGTGTAAGACTGTTTCTCTCGATCTCCGAATTATATATACGACCCCGTGGCTAAGAGGCAGACTCGTGCAGGTGCTTTGACTGCTAGAGGGGGACACAAGCGATTAGAGCTCAGTATAAAGACCAGAGTTGAACAAAGCCCCCTTCCTGCCCCATTCCTTTCGTGGTATAAATCGTAGCCATAAACAAAGGAGATTTCCCCCGCCCGTCGCAATTTCCATTCCTGTAATTAACACGGATATTAAGCAAAGACGGGGATAGTGCATTATACTGCCCAGCAAATCGCATTTATGAAGAAGTAATTAGCTCATCTCTTGAAGAGGCGAGATTCGGGAATCGGATTATTTTGAAGGAATTAGCATCTTGTGACTGTTTAGGATTTATAAAACCCCCAAATTCTTCAAAGGATTTCCGTCAAAGGACTTAGCAGAGACGCCATGGGGATGATCTAACTTTGCATTTAGATTAGTCATGAATTCGAGGAATCAAAGCGAAATGAAACTAAGTATGTGCAAAGCTATATATTTCGAATTAAGTCAGAGAGCTTGTTTATTGTGCACCGAATAGTGAATCGCCATCTTAACCGACAGATTGGCCCATTTTAAAATGGTGTTCAAGAAACTGAAACACATAAGAACTTTTAATAATCAAATAAATTGGCGATTCCCAAACGATGTTCAGTGTGAGATATACGATTTATCTCGAAAATTTTCGAAGTTGAGAATTAATGCCAGTTTGAAAGGTAAATAATAAAACTTAAATTCTGAAAACTGATTTTCTATCCTGGGAAGTTATGCCTGAAAGTAAGGCCGAAGAGGCCCTAATCCTCGTCTCCTAGAGGACTGCGAACCGATATTGGGTGGACCGCCAATACATGTTAGACTAGTTTTACTCACAATTTATAAAAGTTTCTGAAAGACGAAATTGAAATTTATTTTCAATGTTCGGATTTACATTCTCTCCATATTCTACACAATCTTAGAATCTGAATGCTTTACACAGAAAGAGTGCTTGAAACACTTCATATATTTAGATATGCATGCATATATGAGTGCATCCGATAAAGGATTGCATATGTGAGTATCTATTGAAATATATCATATTGTGGCATATTTGCTCAAGGCAAGAACTGCGAAGCCAGTCGAGATAGCCGTTGCTAGGAAACAGATCCGTAACATGCAAAAAAGGAATAACTTGGCAGCGGTGTTCTTTACGCGGTCCGTGTGATAGCTACATGGCACAAAAACAGAATAACTATTATGATAGGTGCTATCTATGATGTTAGTGCCGAGGCTATATAGCGAGGTGCATCTGCGATTACGAGAGACCGGACAAGCGGGCACTGCCTGGGAACCTTAAAAATCAGAGATAGATTTTCTTAACCCCCCCCCCCCAATGTAGTGTCTCTCCCTCCCCCCCCCCACACTTCTTCTTCTTCTACTCTCTATTACGAGAGAGTTTTGAAACAGCAGTTAGAAGAGTAGGAGTTAGTTGTGAAACAGGCGCCGTGAGCTCTGAAGCTGAGGAAGCTACGGCGTTGGAAGCCGTTACCAGGCGACAACCGATGAAGATACAGCAGATCGAGAACAATTAGTACGTGCTGTAGTTAATTGTAGAGCATGCGAATTAGCGATAGCGCTATAGTTACTTGTAGTTACGAGCTGTAAGAGTTCAATCAGTCCAATTACCAATCCAAACTCCGTTTATAATCATACTCAACCACGTGACAATCTATTAAGGAACACGTACGCTATGAACAAAACTACAGGAACAGTTTATCCACGAAGAAAGAGGCAGAAAATATATTTATTTTTTAATGTGTTAGTGAAGTTTTCGACCACGTCAACAGCCATAAAATATTTTTTTTTTAAGATTGCATCCACGAAAACGTTGTTGAAAACGCTACATTAGACTGTTGTTTACTTTCCTTTTCTGAACTTCTGAAGACGATACACTCAAAGATCAAGCAAAGATTCAAGCGATGAAGCTTAATGCAGCCTCAGAATCACGTGCAAAGGAACTATGCTTAGTGTAATGCTATACTTGAGATAACCGTCAGCTGGTTACTACAAACACCTGAGCTGAGAACTGTTGCTCGAGAGTTAACGCACATGATTCATCCTAAAGATGCAGCAAGTTCGAGTCTTAACCGGAGTCACACCTGCTGCCTTGTGTCGTGTATTCATGAATTTCCTTAGTCACTCTAAGAGATTTCCGGTATAGCAGCTTTAAAAAAGCCATAGCTTCGTGTCAAATGCTTTCTCTTTCACAGTGTACGCATGTTCTCTCATTCAATTTCCGGTTAAGTACGCCCTAATTTGTGCAGTTCATATGACGAAGTTAAACAACATATAGTTGAAGCATGACAATAATTGGAGTTCTTTATATGAACTCGTCCTCCAATGACAATATTTCTCTAATCATGTTGACGTGGTGGCGATTTGTAAAGAAAGCATGCGGGGAGACGGGCGGAAGCGCCCTGTTTGATGGTGCCCAAATGTCATATGGCATTCTGGGATCTTATGAGCAATCAACATGGCATCCGTGGATTTGCTCACGATAATCCTTTTGACTTAAAGTTTCATATCCAGAAACTGTCAGGACTATTCGGAAGGTAATCCCGGCAAGCTCTTAACAAAACAAGTAATGAGAAGAAAACTGATTATTAATAAAAATACATACATACTCAAGCTACTTCTCAACGTAGTCACCACCGGAACTGAGGCACTTATATCAGGGAATAAGTTTTTGTATGCCTGTGTCAAAGAATTCTGCAGCCTGTGAACTCAGCTGCGTTTTGAGACCTTCCATTAACTCCTCAGTACTGTTCAGCGCTTTTATCGCAATCAGTTAGTTAAACAAGTGATAGTCACTCGAAACGAGATCAGGGCACTAAGAAGGAGTCGCTTGGGGGGGGGGGGTAGAGTCCAGTTGGGTCTGCTCGACACTACGACCACTGATTTGCCTTTTGTACCTGCCCCGAATGATTATGATGATGGAGAATTTGGTGGAATGAAGATTGGCAGGGGAAACCGAAGTACTCGGAGAAAGCCCGCCCCCAGCGGCACTTTGTTCACCATAAATCCCACTTGACCAGACCCGGGATCGAACCCGGGCCGCCGCAGTGGAAAGCCAGCGACTAACCGCTTGAACTATGGCGCAGCCTCACTAAGGAGAACGGTCAAACATCTCCCAGTTGAAATGCTCCAGCAGTGCTGGAGTGCGAGCACCTGTATGCGGACGCGCATTGTCACGGAGGAGCACTACACCGTATTTCATCACTCCCATAGCCCAACGCAGATTTTTTGGTGTTTCGCAATGCACTTCTGACGTTATGGTGGTCCCTTGTTGCATGAATTCCACCATCAGCACTCCCTTCCTGTCCAAGAAAAC